TTGGGGGCAGACCCTAGCCAAGTAGAACCTCGAGTGCTATTGGACTCGGACAGACCCTAAAGAAACCAACCAGCCACAAGTCTGCCTCAAATCTCGCTGCAATTGAGGCAGACTTGTGGCTGGGACTCGTTGAGGGCATACCCTTGCCATGTAAAACCTCAAGTGCTATTGGACTCGGACAGACCCTAAAATGATCGGGCGGTGGGGGGGGGCGGGGGGGGGGGGGGCAAGTGGGGCAGAGGGGGGGGGCGTGGGGGGGGGCGGGGGGGGGGGGGGGGGGGGGGGGGGGGGGCGGAAGGGGGGGGGGGGGGGGGCGGGGGGCCCACTTGCCCCACTTGCCCCACTTGCCCCACTTGCCCCACTTGCCGCGCTTGCCCCGCTTGCCCCACGCCCCACTTGCAGGGTGGGCTGGGGTAGGAGGGGGGCGAGTGGGCAAGTGGGGCAAGTGGGGCAAGTGGGGCAAGTGGGGCAAGCGGGGCAAGCGGGGCAAGTGGCAGAAATCACTTAGCGGTTAAGGCAGGGCAAGTGGGGCAAGTGGGGCAAGTGGGGCAAGTGGGGCAAAGTGGTTTTCGGTAAGGGAGCACAGCAAGTGGGGCAAGCGGGGCAAGTGGCAGAAATCACTTAGCGGTCCCCGTTTGCACGCGCACTGGCTTAGTATGTGGACCCCTGGTTTCGAGTCTGGAGCTTAGGAGGAATCCTTTGAGGTTTAGGGCTCAGTAGGGCTGAGGGTTTCGGGGTGCCTTGCAGGGCCATGTAGTTTGGAAGCTTATTGCGGTTTAAGTGTTCAACCCTTATAACCCTTAACTCCTAACCCTAAACCGGTTTAAGTGTTCAACCCTTATAACCCTTATAACCCTTAACTCCTAACCCTAAACCCTAAACTCTTGACAACCTCAACACTAAAAGCACCAAAGTTTACAGGGCCCTTAGGGGAGGGGGGGCTTCATGGGGGATGGGAACGTAGGGAACCGTATAGGGAACCTTAGAGAAGCTCAGGGAGCGTTAGGGAGTAGGGGGGGTGAGCATTCTGGAAGCTTGGGTTGCGTACCCCCGTTGAACCCCCCTCCCTCAAAAACCCTCAACCCCCCAAACCCTAAACCCCAAACCCTAAACCCCTAAACCCTAAACCCTAAACCCGAAACCCGAAACCCGAAACCCTAAACCCTAAACCCTAAACCCTAAACCCCCGGAGGCATCCCACAGGGCGGCTGGCGGATCATGGTCGGCTTGGCGGCCTTGTTTGCCCTGGTGGTCGAGGCCTGCCTCGGGTTTAGGGTTTAGGGTTTAGGGTTTAGGGTGTAGGGTTTAGGGTTTAGGGTTTAGGGTTTAATGTTTAGGGTTTAGGGTTTAGGGCTTAGGGTTTAGGGTCTAGGGCTTAGGGCACCCCCCAAACCCTAAGCCTTAAGCCCCGCGGCACATGGCAGAAAGGGTGGGCCCCCCAAGGGCCCAGAGTTCAGAACGGCCCGGGTCCAGGTCTTCCTGGCTTGTTCTGTTGTCTTCTGCAAGGTGCAAGGTTGTCCCGTAGGAGCGCACCCTGTGCCGCCAACTGAATCCTTAGACCCTGAATCCCTATACCCTCAAGCCCTTAAACCCTAAGCCAAATAACAATCTCATATTGATATCCGTATTATATTCGTTAATCTAATAATGTCGTAATCTACCAATGCACGAGTCTAATCATGTAATAGTACAGTGATATCATAAGATGTAGTGATGCAACAAGTACAAGTGAATCCTAAACCCTCATACTCACAGTCCTGAATAGGGATTATAGTACCCCCCCCCAATTATAATCACTATTTAAAGACTGTTAGTATAAGGGGGAACATCCCAGCCTCAGCCCTAAACCCTAAACCCTAAGCCCCAAACCCCAAACCCCAAACCCGAAACCCGAAACCCGAAACCCTAAACCCTAAACCCTAAACCCTAAACCCTCAACCCTAAACCCTAAACCCTCAACCCTACAATTATGATTGTAAGTGAATCTTAAACCCTAACCCCTAAACCCGGGAGTCTCGCCGGGAGGTGGGCATCGTCTTCATCCCCAACTCGCCACGGTGGCTGGTGCTCCGGAGTCTGCAGGACTCGGCACTGCTGCAGGCGCTTTCCCTCTACATCCGCTGGGGTTTAGGGTTTAGGGTTTAGGGTTTAGGGTTTAGGGTTTAGGGTTTAGGGTTTAGGGTTTAGGGTAAATCTTATAGAAACGTCAAGAGAAGACAGTTCCACAGGTCCTCTATGATTCTGGGATGGCTTCTTGTTGGCTGTGGTGGTTTAGCCTTCAGGGTTTTAGAGTGCGGGCTTTGGGCTTTGGGCTTTGGGCTTTGGGCTTTGGGCTTTGGGCTTTGGGCTTTGGGCTTCTTGAAGTCGGGTTGAAGGTTCAGGGTTTCGGAATTTAGGGTGTAGGGTTTCGGGTTTAGGGTTTAGGGTTCATGAACTTCTCCTGGTCCCAAGTTTGAAAAAGCATGAGCAGGACTTGCTTTCCGCAGATACCAGCTTCTAAAAAAGATCAGACAACCTCAGTCTGGCGCCTCCCTTGACGCGCAGTGAAGCAGTAAACCTGAACCAAGCCTAAACCCTAAACCCCAAACCCGAACCCTGAACCCTAAACCCTAAACTCTGAACCCTAAACCCTCAACCCTAAACCCTAAACCCTGAGCCCTCCACTTGGTATCTTTGACAACCCTGTGTCAAGCCGTAGCTCTGACAGGCAGGGGAGTCCCCCTTGGCCATCGAAGCACGCCAGGTTCCGTGCCGAGTTCGGTTCAGGGGTTAAGGGGTTGAGGGCTTTTGGTGTTTTGGGTTTAGGGGTAGGGCGAGGGGTTAGGGTTTAGGGTTTAGGGCATAGGGCTTAGTGTTTAGGGTTTAGGGTTTAGGGTTTAGAGTATAGGGTTTAGGCGTTTAGGGTTCAGGGTGTTGCCGGAGTTTTAGCACACGGGTTGAAGGGCTTGAGGGTTGAAGGGTTTAAGGGGTTAAGGGCTTGAGTGTTTCAGGGTTTAGGGTTCAGGGTCCGTACCTTTCCGCGTGATGCTTTTGTCACGTTTAGGGCTTAGGGCTTAGGGCTTAGGGCTTAGGCCTTAGGGCTTAGGGCTTAGGGCGTAGGGCTAAGGGCTAAGGGCTAAGGGCTTAGGGCTTAGGGCTTGGGCTTAGGGCTTAGGGCTTAGGGTTGAGGGCTTAGGGCCCAAGGAACAAGAATATCCTTGCTCAGGGCTCGAGTGTTCAGGGTTTTATCATGGGCATCCCATCGGCCTCTGTGATTTTTATTGTTGGATGGGGAGCAGGTTTGGCTTAGGCTGTTTGGCTTGGTTGGAGGCTCTGCGGCACTACGAGGTAGGTCCTAAGTATCCCCAAAGCCCTGAGCCCCTAAACCCCTAAACCACTGAACCCCTAAACCCCTAAACCCCTAACCCCATAACCCCGAACCCCGAACCCCGAAACCCCTAAACCCCTAAACCCCTAAACCCCTAATGCCCTAAACCCCGAAACCCCGAAACCCCGAAACCCCTAAACCCCTAAACCCCTAAACCCCGAAACCCCTAAACCCCTAAACCCCTAAACCCCTAAACCCCTAAACCCCTAAACCCCTGAACCCCGAAACCCCTAAACCCCTTAAACCTCCTAAACCCCTAAACCCCTAAACCCCTAAACCCCTAAACCCCTAAACCCCTAAACCCCTGAACCCCGAAACCCCTAAACCCCTTAAACCTCCTAAACCCCCAAACCCCTAAACCCAAAACACCCCGACACGGCCGCGTCAGGCCCTGGCCTTCTTCCGGGGTGAGTCCGAGGAGGCGCCCCTTTTTGGGCCACCGGGGGTTCAGAGTTTGGGTTTAGGGTTTAGGGTTTAGGGTTTAGGGTTTAGGGTTTAGGGTTTAGGGTTTAGGGTTTAGGGTTTAGGGTTTAGGGTTTAGGGTTTAGGGTTTAGGGTATAGGGTTTAGGGGTTTAGGGTTTAGGGTTTAGGGTTTAGGGTTTAGGGTTTTCCCAGAAGAAGGGTTCTCAGGCCCAGGGTTTAGGGTTTAGGGGTTATCAAGGACCTGGGTTTTCAGGCAAAGGGTGTGCCCAAACTATTGGCCCCTTTAAGGGTTTGGGGCGAACCTTTTCTTACATACTTTGGGGGTCCAGGTAGGGTTTAGAGTGCAGGGTTGAGGCATAAAATGGGGCCACTGTAGTTGTAAACGCTTGCGCGTGCTGCTGGCTCGGCAGCCGGGCTGACCCGGGTGGCGAAAGAGGAAGCCAAATCCTTGTCTGCTTGTTCTAGACGCCTGTCGGCCAGAAGCCGAGGCGAATATGAACGGTAGGTGGCGGGCCAGGCCAAACACCCAGGAAGGCCGCCAGGCCATCATGAGCATCAGCTGCGGGCCCTCTCACGTCTGGGCGGGCGCGACCCAGGCCAAAGCAGCATGAGCATCAGCTGCGGGCCCTCGCACATCACGCCGAGCATCATGAACATCAGCTGCGGTCAGCTGCGGGCCCTCTCACATCAGGCCCCTGGCCAAAAGCATCATGAGCATCAGCTGCCAAACCATATAAACCCTGCACCCTCGCTGGAGCGGCCGGTTCCGTGAGTAGACATGGGTCTGTTGGGAGGACGAGTCGAGATTTGGCCTTTCAAGCACGTAAAAGGATTAGGGTTTAGGGTTTCATTAGGGTCGAGGGACCCTAAACCCTAACCTGAACCTAAACCCCAGTGGTCACTGCTTTTGGGACTTCAGAAGCGGGGGTCCTAAGACTGTAAGCGGAAGAATTTCGAATAGGATTCCCTTGTGGTCCCTACATGATTGTACTGTATTAACCCCCCCAAACCCTATTCGAATCATGAAGGCCCTTAGATTATGTGGACCCAGTTGGAGGGTTAGGGTTTAATTAAAGTTTAGGTGTCATGGGGTCTCCTAGTTTTGTCAAACTTCGGGTTAGGCGGCTTAGGGTTTGTCGGGCGTAATGGCGGAGAAAGTCCTCGTGGCAACCGAACACCCTAAAGCCCGAAGGAACCGTGATGTCTTTAAGCGCTTGTAGAGTCCCCAGAAACTGCCCGCAACCCTCAACCCCGCAGGTTAAGCAGCTAAGCACTCAAGCCCCAGAACCCTAAACCCTGAACCCTAAACCCCAAACCCTAAACCGTAAACCCTAAACCCTAAACCACTCCTAAACCCCAAGCTCTGGGGTCTGGGGGACCTCGAGGCGGTGGAGCAAGAGTTCCGCACCATGCTCAATGACGCACGCGAGGCGTGGGCTGTCCCCCTAAGACCGAGCTCGGTTTAGGAGTTTAGGATCTTTAGGGTTTAGGGTTTAGGGTTTAGGGTTTAGGGTTTCCATAGGGGTACATATTCAGCATACCCCTAGGCCATACCCTTAAAAGAAATTATGGGGCATGGTAACATCCTCCCTTGGACTCCCTTATATTCTCTTTTTACAGGTTGAGGGGTATGGGTTTGGAGTTTGGCGAATTATTATTACAGAAGCCTCCATGTGTGTTCAGCATTGGGGGTTTGGAGTTCCCTTAAAACTTTAACCCCTGAACCAAGGATCCCTGTTGTGTAAGGGTTCCGATGAAGTGCTTGCACAGCTAGGGCAGGATGTCGCTGAGGTTCTTGGGATGAGTGCTCAAGGGTGTCAGGGTGGGGTCCTTTTTTAAGAGTTAAACCCTCAACCCTATAGCCCGAAAACCCTAAACACCAGGCCAAAAAAACCCAAAACCCCTAACGAGGGTGGTCGGGTGTTTAGGTAACGAGGTTGACGTGGAGGATACAGGCTCAGAGGGTTTTCGCATGGGCTTCCTAACAATCATTAGGCTTACTTACCTCGAAATAGCCTTAGTTTCATGGGCAACCAGTCGAGAGCTGCCATGGCATGCCCTGAAACCTTGATACACCCCAGACCCCAAACCCCAAACCCTCGTCTGCCCCAGGTTAGGGTTAAGGGTTGAGAGTTGAGGGCCCCTAAACCCTCAAACTAATCCTCCTCACTACTCCCTAAGGCTCCCTAAGCTTCCCTTAGATTTGCTAGGTACGTAGCCCCCTTGAATCCCCCGTCCCTTAAGAACTCTATAATTCTGCCCCCTAAACCCTATGCCCTAAGCCCTCCCTAAGCCCTAAACCCTAAACCCTAAACCCTAAACCCTAAACCCTAAACCCTAAACCCTAAACCCTAAACCCTAAACCCTAAACCCTAAACCCGAAACCCTAAACCCTAAACCCTAAACCCTAAACCCTAAAAACCCTAAACCCTAAACCCTAAACCTTGAGAAGCTCGGGGTTGGAGATTTCGGGCGTGCAGGCCTCCGCAGGAACTGCTGGCTCCGCCAGCTGCACAGCAACTGGGTCGAAGGGAGTCCGGCCGCAGATTTGGGGCTTTGGGGTTTAGGGTTTCGGGTTTAGGGTTTAGGGTTTAGGGTTTAGGGCTTTGAGGTTATCAGGTCATAAGGTTTAAGGGGCTTCCTTCCTGGTTTGGGGAGTTCAGGGTTCAGGATTTAGGATTTTAGGGCTGAAACGTGTACGCGTTCCGTCTTGCAGCATGTCCAGAAGCCGGTTGTGCTTGTTTAGGGTTTAGGGTTTAGGGTTTAGGGTGCTTTAGGGTTTGGGGTTTAGGGTTTAGGGTTTAGGGTTTAGGGTTTAGGGGTTACCCCACGATGCCTCAAGGCGGTCTGTCAGTCGGCCTTAGGGCCAAGAAGTCCCGCCTTAGGGCAGGCTTAGGGTTGCAAGGCTTAGGAAAGAGGTGCTTTAAGGTTAAGGGCTACGGCGCCTTGAGCGCCTTAGGGCCTAAGCTGAGGGTGCTCCTGGGCGAACCCCTAAACGCTAACACCCTAAACCCCGAAACCTTGAACCCTGAACCCGAAACCCTAAACCCCAAACCCCTCTTGAGGCCTTAAGTGCTGAAAGTATCTTTAAGAGCAGCCCTGTGCCGAGGATACGCTTCGGTATCCTCGGCCTCTGGTCATTGGCTGTGGCCTCGTCTTCTTGCAGCAGGTCAGCGGGGTTGCTTTAGGGTTTAGCGTTTAGGGTTTAGGGTTTATAGGGTTTATAGGGTTTATACGGTTTAGGGTTTAGGGTTAGGGTGTTCTACTAAGCTTTTGGCGGAGGTTTGTGGGCTTAGAGGTTAAGGGTTCAGGGTTCAGGGTGGGTTTGGAGGTTCAAGGTTTTAAACCACGGGGCGTTAGGGATGTGCTGCTGGGGTTTCAGGGTTCTTGGACTTGCACCTTTACTTAGGGTTTAGCCCTAAACCCTAAACCCTAAACCCCAAACCCTAAAGCCTAAACCCCAAGCCCCAAACCCTAAACCCTAAACCCTAAAACTCGAAACCCTAAACCCTGAACCCTGAACCCGAAACCCTTAACCCTAGACCCCGAACCCTAGACCTTGAACCCTGAACCCTGAACCCTAAACCCTAAACCCTAAACCCTAAACCCTAAACCCCTGCAGGTCACGGGACAGCCCTCAGTCCTCTACTTCGCCACCAATATCTTCAAGGCTGCTTAGGGTTTAGGGTTTAGGGGTTTAGGGTTTAGG